AGGAGACCCCTTAGTTTTGAAGTTGGTGACTATGTTTATCTGAAAGTCACGCCAATGAAGAAGAAAAGGTTTGGAGTCCGAAGAAAGCTTGCCGCGAGATTCGTAGGACCATACAAGATCTTGGAACAAAGAGGTCCGGTAGCCTACAAGTTAGAGTTACCTGAGACAATGAGTACAGTTTTCCCAGTTTTCCATGTATCACATCTCAAGAAATGTTTGCGTGTTCCGGAGGAAAGAATAGAACCTCGAGGTATTCAACTCAAATCAGATTTGGTGTATCGTGAACAACCGGTCCGGGTGTTAGACACTAAGGAACGTGCTACTCGGAATAGTGTGGTGAAAACATACAAGATACAGTGGGATCATCATGATGAGGGAGATGCAACTTGGGAAACAGGAGAGTATCTACAAAAAGCTTATGAAGATTTTTATAACAAATGGTTCAGTAACCCAAATCTCGGGGACGAGATTTTTATAAGGGGGAGGCTGTAACACCCCGGTGTTATGCCTACATTTAGGCAACGCGCAAATCATGCATATCATGCATCATCAAGCATCCTAATCATACATGAATAATCTTGCATATAATATCTGAAACATTACTTGAAACATACTGAAACATGTTTGTGAAACGTAAATGATGCATACACTTATTAGAGTTGTTTTGCTCTGATTCTTGCTTGCTAGGTTAGTAGAACATGTTTGGCTGCTATTGTAAATCATCTAGCAATGTTTAGTTCAATTTTTGGAGCAATGTTTGTATTCAAATTAATTCAAAATTCGGCTTCAAAAATAAATTCCAAAAATTAGGGTTTTGAGCTAAACGTGGACTTTGATCTTCCAATTCAAAATCTAGAAAGAATTTGGTATTGTGGTCCTAAAAGCAAAGTTGTAGAGAATTAAATTCTAAGCAACTTTCATTTTTGGTACATTTTCAAAAGAGGTCATCTTCTTACTCAAAATAAGATTTGAAAGCTGGCTTTTAAAAAAAAATTCTTGAAAATATAAATGAAAAAGAGTTTTTCTGTTTTCATTTTCGCACGCCGCCAGCTTCAGCAAGTTGCCCAAAGAAGCCCTCAAAGCCAAAGCCCCTCACAAGACCATGCTGGCTTGGTTCGCTCAAGGCTTCGCCTTGGCCCAGAGCGCCTCGCCACCAGGCCCCGCGCCCCGCCTTCGCCAAGCTTCAAGGCGCTGCGCTACCTGACGCCGTGAGCCGATCGCCGCGTGGCGCCACCACGTCGCCCGAAGCTCCTCGACCATGGCCACACGCCACGGGCTTCCCTGACGTTGCTGGCCGAGTCTTGAGCACCTCTGCTACCACCGCATTCCAGCGTTTCGCCCACTCCGGCCATGTGCGCCTCTCGCCTCTCTCCGCTGGCGCCCCGCCATCGCCACCGTGCACGCGCGCCTTGCGGAGCTTCGCTTCGCCCAGCCACCTCGGCTCGCCGGTGACAACTCCGTTTAGCCCTCTACTCCGCCCGTCACCCCGCGCCCCGTGCTCTCGCTTCTTTTTGTTAGTAAGCATCCGTTCTTGGGAATTGCTTTCGCCGGAGCACGGCTGAAGCTTCATTGGTGAGCTCCGCTCCCGTGGACTCCCCTCCCAGCTCCTCTTCCTACTGTGATTTCAGGCAAGACAAGCACTGCGACGGCGACGTTGAGTCTCCCGAGCGCCTCCTTGCACCTGCTGTGGCGGAGATGCTCCACCGGCGATTAGCGCCGCCGCCCGCCATTACTGTCATTGAGCTTTTTCCCCCTGCACCGCCTCCCTATTCACCTCTATCCGACGCGGTTTGGCATGGGGAGCACGTTGGTGCCCTCCGTTTTCGCGGGGACCTCGCCGTCGGCGAAGTTTTCAGAATGCCACATGTCGTCGTCGTCTCTCCGTCCCCTGCTTTCTCTCACTGGCACGCGGCCCCGTTTGTCGTGGCCATTCATGAGGGGATCGGAGATGGGCTGCGCTCGTTCTGGGCCGTGTCTTGGCCAAGATCGTGGGCCGCTTGAAGCCGTTGGCTGGCCCAAGAACGTTTAAGTGATTTGATTTCCATTTATTCTTTATTATTTGGAAATCTGAAATGGTTTGAAAAATATTTGGATACTCAAACTTGCTCCAAATTTGTTGAAACAAATTTTGCTAGGTTCCTTATCATCAGATCTACTTGGGAAAAATAGTGCATGTCATTTTTGAGATACTTTTCTATAGGATTTTATTTAATCTTGAATATTGCTGATAACTTGAAAAATATGTAGAAAATATATAGGCTTCAGAAAAATATGATTCCAAGTTTGTTAATCTTCTTATTTCATGTACTTCCTAGGAAAAATATGTTTCATGCATGTGCTGTGGGAAAAATTTGAGGTGTAGTTCAAGTTCCTTTAATGGCTGATTTTTGTTATTTTTGCTAGAGCACAAATTTTGTATAAAACATGCATGTGACAATTTTTGTACAGTCATTATATACCATGAAGAACCTAGGAAAATATTAATTCTGTTGTTTGACACTTTTCATAGTACAAAGTAATTTCATGCTCATTTTAGGCTATAGCTTGTCATTTTTGTGTAGGATAGTTTACTTATCCAAATGCCATGAAATTTTTTATGGTAGTCTGTTTAGGGTAGTAGTATGCTACTGTAATTTTCTCAGATTTTAGGAGCATCAGAAATATAGGTTGCTATTCAAACCTATTATTAATTAGGGTTTAAGCAAGTATTGCCTTAAGTGTGATTAAGAAATTAGTAAAGCTTTGGTGTATCTTTGAAGCATTTATTAAAATATGTTGACTTAACATATGGGTAGTAGAAGAGAATGCAGTAGATGACATGTGCTTGTAGCCTAGTTTCTTGGATGATGTTGTCTACCTTGCCTTTCAACATATTCATTGCATTCATCTCCTTCGATGCACCGATTGCATAGGCACTTACACGCATTGCATCATACTGGGATCGCAAACCGAGAACCCGGTCGTCATTCCCGAGGAGCCCGAGGAGCAGTTCGAGTGCGTGCAGGAAGTGCCGGGTCAACGAGGAGGACGTTGAAGAACTTCCGGAGTGCCCCGATCACCGTCCAAAGCTCCTTGAGAGAGAGGCAAGCCCGAGCATCTTTCTCCCGGTTTGCAATGATTTCGTTAAATGCTTTACTTTAAATTGATGCATTACGTTCAGGAGTTGTTTGCAACCGCTGTTGCATTATACCTTGTTTACCTTTGTTATACTATATCCTTGTTACCACGGTATCCGCAATGAAGTCAATGCTTAGTCTGGCTTAGACCGTAGAAGTCGGGTGATTTCGTCACCGCGAGCTATAGGTGGTTACCGGATCTGTTTGGATGGCTATGAAGTCATGGTATAACTAAGTGTTAAATGAAGTTGAGACCGGGCGGAGACTTGCGGTGGTTTTGGACCTGTAGTGTTTCCGTCTCAGGTTTCGATTAAGGACCGACCGTTGTTGGGCCTCGAGTCATGTTGAACGATGCCTTACATTTAGTCGGCGGATAAAGTACCTTCCGACCGCTGAAGCCGGGAGATTTTTCGGCCGAGTAGATTGCCCAGCACACGCCTTGTGCAAAGCGTGTGTGGTAGGACACGGGGCGGGATGATAAGACCAAAGTGCGGTCGGTCGGCCCCGGTACATGTGGTTCTGGCAAACTCGAGATACGGAAAGTTGACTCGGTGATCAATATCTCACTTTAGCGGGTGAGTGAGATTTGTGTAAGGAATAAATCACCAAAATTTGGTTAGGAATCGATTCGAATCGCCATCGGCTCTGGATAGTGAGCACTTGACTTGAGTGACTTCATCGTAGTAAATGTTTATGGAACACTTGGACGCTTATAGTGAATATGACAAGATGGAAGTTGTTTAATGATCAGTGGTTATCATTAATTGCTTAATCACATGTTTACTTTAGTATAGGTGCAAATCTAGTCGATGAGTTAATAATAATTAACTTGACAATAATGCTTTTAGAAAGGTTCTTGAAATGCTAAAAATGCTTCTTTTCGCATAAATGAGTCGACTACCCTACTATAGTGCCCTGCATAATCCTTGGTGTCATTTATTTTCGGTTATGTCGGGTAAGTCCGGCCGAGTACATTCTCGTACTCGTGGTTTTATTCCCACTTGTTGCGAGATGGGCGGATGTACTATGGCTATTGTATCAACCGCCTCTATCCTGCGATGGTGATGCTTAGGACCATGGGCATGGTCATTCCTTACGTCTCATCTAATGCTTTTGTTGGAGATGATCATCGGTGGCACTATATTTGAACTCCGTGTGAGTGTGTGTGGTTTTAAACAAATGACTTCCGCTACTTTTTATTCGAACTTGTTTTGTAATAACTTTTATTTAAACTCGATGTATCATTATGGAAACTTTTATGTAATATGTGATTGGTGACCGCTAAACTTATTACGATCATGGCTGGGACACGAGTTGGTTTGAAATCCTTCGTGATTTCACGGACTACCGGGTTATACGGGCTTAAGTTTGCTCAATCGTCTGCTCTGGTGGATGATTTTCTTACTTAATTTCGTATAATTGGTCGGTTCTGTTACACCTATGGGTGGGGCCACCTGCCTTTTTCTTTTCGTTTTTTTCATCGGGCTTACCTTCTCTGACGTTTCGAGCGACCGCCGCTCATCTCGAGCCGCCCACGGCCTGCTTGCCCACGCCGCCGGAGGTGCTTGCACAACCGCCCCCGCGCCGCTCGGGAGGACCTCGCCCACGCAGCCACCCCCGTGCCGCCAGCCTGCGCAACAGCCCTCGCGCCTCGGCCGGAAATTGCTCGCCCGAGTCGTCGCTTAGGATAGCTCGTCGGCGCTGCCAGCCGCCTCCGGAGCTCCTCGCATGCGCAGATCACGCACCTGTGGAGCTCTTCTCCCGCGCCGGTGCCTGCCCGCGGAGCTCATCGATCGCGCCACCTGCACACCACCTGACCGCTTCTGCAGAAAACGGCGCTCGACGCCGTGCAAAAGGGACATCCCCGTCCCTTTATTTCGAGGGATGGGGTTATCCCGCATCTGGGGTGAATATTCGCAAGAGGACGTCCCAATTGCTCCTCGCCTCGGATCCAAACACCACGGAAATAGGTGCCGTCCCATCCCATGCCAGTTCGTCCCCTCGTCCAAACACACGGTAAAAGAGTGAAGGCACGCTTTTCACATGCAGTGCAGGGGTGAGACGTCAGAGAGGGAGACCGACCGTGGGGATGAGGAACTGACCGGCTCTGACTGACCCCAACCCCAACTGTTCACACGGCACTTGCACACACATGTCGTACCAGTGTGGGACGGGACACGGAAGCGCTTCTCCTTCTCCTCCCCGTCGCCGTCTTTCTCTCCGCCCTTCTCTTATTCTTCTCCTCAATTTTTCGTTCTCTCTCTCCCTGCGCTTCTTCAGTTCTTCGTCTCCTCCTGCGGTGGCGGCCGCCGGCGATCCCTGATCGGCGACACTCAGGTACCCACCCGCCCGATCCGCCGCTCTTCCCGTCCCACCGATTTCTGCTGCATATGCGTATACGCCGCTCGAATTCGATCGCCTCCCATCCTGCCGGTGGCGCTGGTTCCGATTGAGCCTGTGCACGCGACCGCCTCGCGGGTCGCCGCCCCCTCGCTTTTCGTATGTACTACTAGACTAGTTCCTGCCTATGCCGGTAGCGAAAAGCGGCTTTGCTTCCCCTTTGCTTTGCTACGGCGCCATTGCTGACGGCTGACCCCCCTTTGTTGCTCTCCAACAGACTATGCCTGCCTCGCGTTGTCTCGACTAGAGCACTCTCATGCCAACCGAATTAATTCTGTTCACCTCCAACTGATTACTACTGGAATAGTGGGGGCTACTTGGAGCAGGGCGCATTTACTGTTCCCCAAACCCTTTACTTCTGCTTCTGCTGTATACTAGTTGTTGGGTGGGCGCTCCACTGTGAATCTTATTTATGCAGTATTACTTACCGCAAACCGTGGTGCTGCATAGATCCTACCCTAACAATGTATTATGTATGAGATATGGCTTCATGTCGACAAGGGTCCCGTTCTATCACTGTTCTTGTACCATGTTTTTTTTACGGACCACTGCTTGCTATTGCTGCTGCTGGATGTTCCATTGGCAGACTGGCTGCTCATTGAGTTGGTAGGTGGGAGGCAAGGTCAATCTCCTCCTCCACCTCCTCCTCCTCCATGTGTTTGGGCTGATGCTCATTCTGCTAATGTGATAAGCGTGACCCGGTTTCTGTTGTCAGACCGGAGGCTGAAAGTTCTACCACTCAGCTTAACAAGGTGGTTTATAGTTGGCTAGTGGTTATTAGTTGTAGCGTAGTAGCGTGATTTATGCGGACCAAGAGCACTGGAAAGTACCATGACCTCTACTACCGGCCTGCTGGTCATGGCAGTGCTCTTTTAGATCCTCCAATGGCCTGCTGGTCACGTCACATCCTTCGCACTCCTGACACAGTAACCGATTCCTCTCATTGCTACTGTCCCCTTATCTTTGCTATTTTGTTAACTTATTATAACTGCTAGTGATTTTATTTCCATACCTTTCCTGAACAGCGTTGTGGCATTGCATATTGAATTGCCATGTAACAGTCGTCTCTTCCATATTTGCAGACTCTAATTCTGTCCATTGTGCTGCGCGGTAGCAGTAGACAATCTTGCTTCTTGGTGTTTTGTTTGTCTCTAGTTGATCATTCAGATGCCCGTACAGCTCAGCTGTTCTAACTAGCTGTATATATCTGGTTGAAGAGGGCCAATCTAGCAACAATGTCATCGCTTCAGTTATTGCAACTAACAGAGCGCGGGCGCAACCTTTTGTCTTCAAGAAGGTATGCTTTTGAGCCGATCCAGCAGTACTTTTTTTAAAAGATTGGTGAGTTCATATAACTGATACAACTAACCCATGTTTCTTCTTCTTCTTTTTCTCTCTCTATTTTTACAGGAGAACAATTGCAATTTTTTCTGGGGCAGTACTTGCTGGTGGAACTTTGGCATATGCCCAGTCAGGTCGATGGAAAAAGCATCAGGAAGTAAATTGTTGCAGTGATGCAAACTCACATAGCAGTAATAACGGAAGAACTAGTCAGAACGGAATTGATGGTAAATTGGTGAAAACAAGGAAAAAGAAAAGTGGACTGAAGTCCTTACATTTTCTGGCTGCTATTTTACTTAAGAAGATTGGCCCAAATGGAACGAATTACCTTATTGGCTTGATATTAACAGCAGTAAGTTATACAGTGTCCATTATTGTGTTCGTTTGAGTTAATTTGTCATGTTGAGATTATAATGCTCTGCATATCAAATCATGCATGCAATCTATGTGCTATTTTGAAAGTTTCCATTGTTTTAGCATGTTTTTGTTATCATTATTTGCATTTGTACTTGTATGTTAAGTCTTAAAATCTTAATCATTTTTGAGTATGTATTTCCTGTTTTCTCTCCAACTATGTTGGACATTTTTCCTTATCATCATGTGTTCAGTGTGACTTTGGCCCTGTTCGCTTCGCTGAAAAGCCATGGCTGAAAGTACTGTTCGCTGATTTGCTGCGAGAGAAAAGCACTGTTCCTTCGCTGAAACAGTACGGCTCATAAGACAAGCGAACAGGGCCTTTGTATCTGCTAGTCTAGCAGTCTAGCTACATGTAAATCAAAGAACTTTATTATGCATACTTGCCTACATATCATTCTAAAGCAGTAAGAATGTAAGATGATGCATCCTATCTTTTTGCAGGTCTTGCGTACAGCTGTTGGCCACAGATTAGCAAAAGTACAAGGGTATTTATTCAAATCTGCATTCCTTCGGCGTATTCCGACCTTTACACGTCTCATTATTGAAAATCTTCTTCTATGCTTTCTCCAATCCACGTTATATCAGACGTCAAAGTACTTAACAGGGTCCTTAGGCTTGCGCTTCAAAAAAATCTTGACAGATCTTGTCCATGCTGATTATTTTGAGGTATGTTGGGTTATAAAGTTGGACCTCCCAATCCTATGCATTCTTTGTTCCTTGCGATTTCAAATTTTACCCACAGAACAGTGAAATAACTCACTTTTTCTCTGGAGTTTAGTAACCCTGGAAAAATTATGTGGCGCTGTGTTTGAGTGATCACATAGGATTGATTGGTTCATCAATGATTGGATCATCCCAGCATTTCTCATTTTTCTACTAGCCTTATGCTTATGTTGTATGATGAAATGATGGACCAACCCATCATGTTTCCTAACAAAACAAGTTAGATTCCTAGCTAGGTCTGATGAACTAAAGACTGTCAAGTTCTGGAAAATAAATACATGATAATGATCGTTTTATCTCCCTGCACTTTTCATTCTGCGTGTTTATCAGATCCTCCCCCACCCCGCCCTCCTTGCAGGATCATAGTGAATCTTCTATGATCAATTGAGTTGATTTTTTTCCTTATGTTCAGAACATGGTATACTACAAGATCTCACATGTTGATCATCGGATCTCAAACCCAGAGCAAAGGATTGCAAGTGACATACCAAAGTTCTGCTCAGAATTAAGTGACCTTGTACAGGATGATCTGGCTGCAATTGTAGAAGGGTTAATATACACCTGGCGCCTGTGCTCTTATGCAAGTCCAAAATATGTATTATGGATTCTGGTAATTCTTCTTTAGATCAACTGTTGCTCTTTCTTAACTGCAAAAATGATGCAGCACTTACTGTTAGAAAATAAAGCTGATCTAGTTTGCTTCTTCATATTTTTAGAAAAAATGTTCTTATTTTACAAAAGATTCTTCCTTCTTAGTTACATTCTTAACAAGTGTGTGCTTTCAGGCATATGTTATAGGCGCTGGTGGTACAATTAGAAAATTTTCTCCTGCTTTTGGCAAACTGAAGTCTACAGAACAACAGCTAGAGGGGTGAATATCGCCAACTCCATTCACGATTGAGAACCCATGCTGAGAGTGTGGCGTTTTATGATGGTGAGAACAGAGAAGCATCACATATTAAGCAGCGGTTCCGGGCACTTGTTAAACACTTGAATGTTGTTCTTCATGAAAACTGGTGGTTTGGCATGATTCAAGATTTTCTTCTGAAGTATCTTGGTGCCACTGTGGGAGTTATCCTAATTATTGAACCTTTCTTTGCGGGGAATCTTAAACCTGAATCATCCACCTTAGGATGGGCAGAGATGTTGAGCAATCTCCGATACCACACCAGCGTGATAATGTCACTGTTTCAATCTCTTGGAACCCTTTCTATTGGTTCAAAGCGCTTAAATATTCTCAGGTAACTGCTGAATCCGTTGTGTCAAATACTGATGCAACCTGTAGGTTAAGTACACACTGATAAAGTAATCTAACCTGTATCCGGTAAATTACATACCTAAAGTGGACCCTGAAAAGTTCAGCTGCAAATGAAATATGTTGCTTGTAAAATCGAACAATTTGCCCTATAAGTACTCACTTTCACTTCCTGAGAACTGTATTGGTAATAATTCATGTTCAAAAAACAAAATCAACCAACCTAGGAGGAACTAGGCGTAGGTGACTTTCTAAATAAGAATATGCACCCAGTCAAAGAGCACTTGAACCATGTATGCTCAACCAACTAAACAGTAAATTCATGTGGGATTCTCAATTTATGATATTATATATGCTGTTAGTTCGACTTCGGCTTCATCATGCTGTGAGGATTATTTAATGCCTTTCTAGTATGTACAAGCTTCAAATTTCAAATGGTAGTATTTGATGGTGATTGACTATTTTTTGTGCAGTGGCTATGCTTATCGTATTCATGAATTACTGGATGTCTCGCGTGAGCTATCTGGTGGCCGTGATAGATTGATTACTCAAAATTCCTCTGATGGAAATTATATCAGCGAGGCAAATTATATAGAGTTTTCAGGTGTAAAGGTAATAATATAGCAGTCATTTTCTATTTGTCTTCCCTATCACCCTATGTGAAGATTCTAAAAAATAATTTGTTACAGGTGGTGACACCTTCTGGGAATGTCTTGGTTGATAATTTGAACCTTCATTTGGAGTCAGGCTCTAATCTGTTGATCACTGGTAATCCTCTATTTTCTTGCTCCCATTAAATCTAGACCTGTGTTAGTTATTTGAACGCTTGCTGTAAAGGAAACTGAATCAATTATTGAGTATTTGAATGTTCAAACTGCAAGGAATGAGAAAAATCATGCAAGAATATTTTTTATTTCCTATTTTGTGTCCACAAATACTGGTTTATTATGATACGTTGTGTTGGTGGTGAATTGGTTTCCTAGTCAAATAGTTCCTGTTCACCTTAATTACTTGGAATCAGTCTTGAAATATGCTCTTCCGTCTAGAATTGCCTGATCTGTGGCTACAGAAAAAAAGCAATTTGTATCTGTCTAACTTCAATGCTTGTGTCTTACTATTCAAATTTAGACATTTAGACATTTCTTGTTTTTGCTGTTATCAGGGCAAGAGCTCTGCCATTCTTGCCCAGCACTCGCTGCATTGCTACACTAGCATCAGAGAAGAAAGCAAGATACTATAGGTTGCAGCACCTGGAGAAATAACCAAACAAAAGAAGCTAACCTGTAGAAAAGGCCTTGCAGCAACAGGAGGTGCAGGCAGCCTGCGTTATATATTTCTTCTGAATATTATTGGTGTTCTTTCTGCCTGTTTAAGTACCCTTAGATATCCTCTTCAGCTTAAAGGGCAATTAAAACCATTAAACCAAGCCAGTGTAGGCAGTGGCGAAGCTAGACCAAATGATTGGGGGTGCACAACTTCATCATGAATATAGTGACCCATATGGTGTTCAAACAAATAGCATAACTAATTCATAATTTTTTAACATCAAAATTCAACTTCCAGTAATGGCAATGTGAGAGCATCTCCAAGAAACTCTCTATTTCCTTCCTAAATGCTAGGAATAGAGATTTTTTTGTAAAACTATACTCCAATAGCTTCTCTAAATGGTTGTCCAAATATAACCATCTTCTATTCCGGATTTTTCGCTAGCCAAAAATAGAAGACGAGAATGACTCTCTAGACTGTGCACGAGATATAGAAAAATTGTTGGAGAGTGAAAAGATATAGAAAGCGACTTTTATGCAAATGACTCTCCAAATGATGATTTAGAGAGTGAGATTTAAAGAGGCTCTTGGAGATGCTCTGATTTTGATCAAAACATAAGCAAACTGGTAGGGGCAAGAGCAATAACACTCACCATTTGTAACAAAATAAAGACGACATTGATCACTATAGTGTAGTGATTGAAAGAATGCCAAAACGATGAACAAAGGATGTCCCATATAGCAAAATATATGATCCAGCCTAAAGAAAAGAGAACAAATATATGATCAGTTTATAATACCTCTCCATGGTTACCTTACCTATAATTCATTCATAATCAAATTGCAGTTCATAATTTCACGTATAAATAACTTGAGCACGATGAACACAAAAACACTCACCGGGCGGGGGCGGGCATCAGGCCATCAGGGCATGGACACAGAAACACTGATTGGATCAACACAGAAACACTCACAGACTGACGGACGGACTCACAGATGAGTGGCAGCTTCAGTACGATCTCCAGGCGGAGGCGGAGCGCTGACCGCACCACCGAGGACAAGCAGGGGCGAACAGGAACAGGCGGGCGGCGGCCAGCGACAGCGGAGCAGGCGAGCAGCCGAGCACTGTGTGTGGGCGGCGGGCGGCTTTAACTCGCGACTCGCGATTTCAATAGGAACGGAGGCAGGCGAGGTGTCGCGGCTTCGAGCGGAACTGCGGAAGGAACCGCGCGCACCTCTGGACTCAGCGTCTCAGCGACGGACTCAGACGTGGGCTTCTTGGGCTGCAGGGGGTGCCTCCTGTTGGGCCATGGGGGGTGCCTATAGGGCCAAATTTCCCTAGTCCTCAAGTATTTTTGGAATTGTGGGGGGTGCCTGGGCAACCACGGGCCGTAACTGGGCTTCGCCCCTGAGTGTAGGCTATTTTCCCAGATGCATTGAGCTTGCTTGCGTGGTTGATTGATTCTACTGATGATGAGTCTTGCATAATTTTTTCTTAATCATTTGTTCGGCTTACATAGCAACAATAATCATCTGCTTAATCTTCAAAAAAAAGAAAGCTAATCTCCTTGAATGTGGGGAAGGTCTGTCAAGTAGACTTTCTTTCTTGACGTTTTATGTGTATGCCTAATTCTGTTTTATATCTATGTGCTTTTGCTTTATGGAAATTGCAGCCATGGGAGATTAATTTTATGATGTGCCTTAACTTCTATATTTCAGGTCCTAATGGTAGTGGAAAAAGCTCCCTTTTTCGTGTTCTTGGTGGTCTGTGGCCGATGGTATCTGGTCATATTGTCAAACCTGGTGTTGGTTCCAATCTCAACAAGGAAATATTTTATGTGCCCCAGAGACCATATACAGCAGTTGGAACACTTCGCGACCAGTTAATCTATCCGCTCACAGCAGACCAAGAGATTGAACCACTCAGCTATGGTGGCATGGTGGATCTTCTAAAGAATGTAATAACAATCATATCTGTGTAGTTCATAAATTAGCCTCTCAAAAAGCATTTACCATCATCTTTTCATTGTTTTTGCAAGCAACTGAAAAAATAAGCTAGGAAATCCTTAACGTTGCCTGTTGGTTTCAGGTTGATCTGGAATACTTGCTAGAACGCTATCCTCTTGACAAGGAAGTTAACTGGGGTGATGAATTGTCTCTTGGTGAGCAGCAAAGATTAGGAATGGCTAGACTGTTCTATCATAAGCCAAAGTTTGCTATCCTGGATGAATGCACTAGTGCTGTGACAACTGATATGGAAGAGCGCTTCTGCAAAAGGGTTCGAGCAATGGGCACATCATGCATAACAATATCTCACCGTCCAGCATTAGTTGCATTTCATGAAATTGTTTTGTCCTTAGATGGTGAAGGAGGCTGGAATATTCAGGACAACAGGTTACAGAAAATATACTTCTCTTTCTTTTTTTATTCTGAATTTTTTGAGCACTGACAAAGCAATGTTGAAATTGATTTTATTCTTTTAGAAATGGTTCTTCCTTCTCTCCTGAAGTTGAGTTTGATGTGCTGAAGTCATCAGAAACTGATCGCAAGTCTGATGCACTTACTGTTCAAAGGGCTTTCATCACCAGCACAAAGGTACTTATGTTTTCAGAATATCACCTCTTACCTCTTTGAATTAGTATTTGGATCATCTTCTATCTTTAACTGGGTTCTTGTTCCTAGGGCAATGCATCAATGAAGTCCAAGAAGCAGTCCTATTCAACAGAGGTCATAGCATCTTCCCCCACTATGGAGATAGAACATACAGTACGATCACCTATTGTCACACAATTGCAATGCTCTCCAAGACCTTTGCCTGTCAGAGTTGCTGCAATGTCTCAAATACTGGTACGCAGTTGTATTTGATAATCCAATCCATTGTAGTGTTAGGATATGTTCTGCTTCTTACTGTTCATTGACTTCTTTCCTCTTGGACTTGATATTACATGTGTTTCTTGAAGATACCAGAAGCTTAAATCTTAAATTGGATTAATATAAACATACCATGAATCTGGGAAACTGGGATGTTATAAGTTTTTTAGTTCTAATACTGTTCCCAAATATTGGATTGCCAGGTTCCAAAGCTATTTGATAAGCAAGGAGGTCAGCTGCTTGCAGTGGTACTGCTTGTATTCTCCCGCACTTGGATTTCAGATCGTATAGCTTCATTGAATGGTATGATGTTTGATAAGCAAGTAGGCAGTTGCTTGCATTGCCACCATATGTATTCCCTTTGCTAAGACAAACGAACTGATAGCTGCACTGTATATATATGAATACTAATATATTTGATTGTGACAGGAACAAGTGTCAAGTATGTCTTGGAGCAGGACAAAGCTGCCTTCATTCGTTTGGCTGGCATCAGTGTGCTGCAAAGTGCAGCAAATTCCATCGTGTCACCCTCACTGAGGTAATTTTTGGTTCCACTCATTTGAAGTATTTTATATAGATACTATATTTGGTTCCTCATAGAATCTTCACTGCATGAATCCAGTTATCATTCTTCCAAGCATACGAAACTGCTTGTGAAATTAACTGGTTTTTATAATCGGTTCCATGATCTGATTATTTGATTTCTTTACAGAAATCTTACTTCAAGAATTGCCCTTGGATGGCGGATTCGCATGACCAACCATCTGCTTCAATATTATTTGAAAAGAAATGCTTTTTACAAGGTGAGCTATTCTCCCATTGAATACTCACCCGGGCTTTTATTGCACTATATGTGCCTGTGTTTTTTCCCTTTATTGTTTGTACTTTTCCATGACATGCATACAGTCATCTATACATCATGTATCAATTTGGATGAGCAAGCGTTTGATACTGGCATAGAATTCTGGCTATCTTCAAATTATGTTTGGTTGTTCATGTGCTTCTAGTTTGAGCTTATCACATGTGTGTCTATATGCATTGTACAACCTCAGTCTGGTACTTTCTTTTTTTTGTCCCGTGTGTATCTCTGGAGTAATTGAATAAACAGGGTCTTGAGAATGTGACAGTCTGACACTGTCGTATTTTTATTCTGCATTTGGCACTTAGTACCTGATTAATCTGTTTGTAAACACTTCTTGAGCTGTTTACTTTACTGGAAGCTGATACTGAAAATATTTGGTGAGCCAATTCAAGGGCATGGTACTGAGTTTTGTACATTGACCAGGTCGTTTTATATTTATAAGTTGACTGCATATTTGATAGCTGAAGTTTGCATTGGTTATCGTAATTGAAATTTTGGTAGATTTTGCAATGTGTGGAGCGTAGTGTATATGTTTTCCACGACAACTGAGCACTTCTAGCTTATCTTACAGGTATTCAACATCTCGGGTATGAGTATGGATGCAGACCAAAGAATGACACATGATGTAGAGAAGTTGACCAATGATCTTGCTGGCTTGCTTACCGGTATGGTGAAGCCACTAGTTGATATTATTTGGTGAGTCTCTCTCATGATCTCATAGTTTTGGCATGTGTTTCGTAAACTGAGCTTTTGTTTCTAACCCTATTTGAATTCACCAGGTTTACATGGAGAATGAAGCTTTTGTCTGGGCGAAGAGGGGTTGCTATACTGTATGCTTACATGTTCCTAGGTCTTGGTTTTCTAAGAGCTGTGTCCCCTGACTTTGGTGATCTTTCAAACCAAGAACAAGAACTTGAAGGCACATTCAGGTTAGTAATAGATACTTCATCAAGCACTGGCAAAGTTTGCTTGCTTATCTTCTGAAAAGCTTTAATTTGTTGGCTCTGTAACCTTTATGAAGGTTCATGCACTCAAGATTGCGGACGCATGCTGAGTCAATAGCTTTCTTTGGTGGTGGATCAAGGGAGAAAGCTGTAAGTTTCTCCATACTACATGAATGCTGCTCAAAATTATTACACGTCTGTATTGTGTCGCCCCTGAACATTGTGTTGTCTGGTAGTTTATGATACTTTCTTTAATCACTCTTAAGGTTTAAAATCCCAAATACCAAGTGTTGTATATGTAGTTAATTCACAAGTTTATCTGTTGATTAAATCATAATGCTAAATAGTACATTTTATTTTGTTATGTGTTAAAATTTTGTGCCCTCACATTCCACTTTCCACCCCAAAAAAAAAAAAAAAACAGATGATTGATGCAAAATTCACGACATTGCTCAACCACTCGAAGGTTCTGTTGAGAAAAAAGTGGCTTTATGGTATTTTTGATGATTTTGTGACGAAACAGCTTCCTCATAATGTGACATGGGGGCTGAGTATGTTATATGCTTTGGAGCACAAGGGAGACCGAGCTTTGACTTCAACTCAAGGTTGACATTAATCTTGAAAGTTCCATTATTATTAAAAACAAAATCTTGGCAGTGCTTCCATTTTTTGTGTGGTGTTCCTTTTGAGTTTTAAAAGTATGCTCCTGTGTTTTCGAATTACAGGAGAGTTGGCACATGCTCTGAGGTTCTTGGCATCTGTGGTGTCACAAAGCTTCATAGCGTTTGGTGATATTCTTGAGTTACACAAGAAGTTCCTTGAACTCTCTGGTGGTATTAATAGAATATTTGAGCTTGAGGAGCTTCTACAGGCATCACAAAGCAGTAAGTGTCAATTCATACTGAAATTTAGTGGTGGTAGTAGTAGTAGTAGGCAGTGGTATGGCAGGTTGATTGTAACTGAATATTTGTAGTTCACAAATGATAAATTTGGATTTATATCTCTCTCTTTTGATGTTATCACTTGCTTGAACCTGAATATGGTACTGCTGTTCATCTAGATCCTGTCGTGCCTTCTGATGCTATAAATGCCACTTCCGAAGAAATAATTTCCTTCCGTGGCGTGGATATTGTAACACCATCACAAAAGCTATTGGCTAGCCAATTGTCTTGTGATGTATCTCAAGGGAAAAGCCTTCTTGTGACTGGTATATCATGTTGCAGCTTTTGTCTGATTTAAATTTAGCACCGTATTGACATTGTTTCTCTAATATCTATCATGTTTATTTATTCCTTGATGAAGGTCCAAATGGTAGCGGAAAGAGTTCCATTTTTAGGGTGCTTCGAGGTTTGTGGCCCATTGCTTCCGGTAGTCTTACCAAACCATCAGAAGGAATTTTTAATGTTCCTCAACGTCCATATACTTGTCTTGGAACCTTGAGGGATCAGATCATATACCCTCTCTCACATGAGGAGGCAAAGTTGAAGATGCTGTCATACGAAACAAGTAGGTGCCACTTATCTTTCTTTCTTGCTGTTGTTACTTTGAACTTTGTATAGTTTAACGCTGTATATTTACGTTGATGTAGGTGACGAGTCTACAGCTTCCAAGATGTTGGATGATCACCTGAAGACGATTCTAGAGAATGTTCGCTTGGTGTATCTTCTAGAAAGAGAAGGTTGGGATGCTACTCCTAACTGGGAAGATATTCTATCCTTGGGAGAACAGCAGAGGCTGGGGATGGTCAGTGTGATTAAGACCTATATAATTTTAGGCTGCATTTATTATTGACTTAAACAAATGAATATCTCTAGCTTTGTGCTTGTGCTAAGTGGGAGGAACTGCTTTGTTTTCAGGCTCGTCTGTTCTTTCACTGTCCTAAATATGGCATCCTCGACGAATGCACCAAGTATGTCTTAATGTTTTTCATATTTTCGTTTCAATTCTTGACCACAGTGTGTGGTACTTAGAAAGCTCTCTTTGCAGTGCCACAAGTGTGGACGTTGAGGAGCATCTGTACAGGCTAGCAACCAACATGGGCATAACAGTGATCACATCCTCACAAGTAAGTATTCATCATACTCTTCTTATTTCTAGCCGGCAGTTCCCTTGCTGTAGCCCCTCGCAGTTTAAATCTTTCCTGCCCATTTGTTGAATACGTATGACTGAGTCCCTCTGTTTGCTTATTTGTTTGCAGAGACCTGCTCTGATCCCCTTCCATTCCTTGGAACTGAAACTCATTGATGGTGAAGGAAAGTGGGAGCTTTGTTCCATCCACCAATAACCAATGCCATCTGCTGACTTTCATCGTTAGTTACCTGTTGTACAAAGTACTGTTGTCACCAATTTATGCTTCATCAGTGGAGGCAATTACAAGTTTTGCAAAGCACATGAAGAGACTCGTCCACTCGGGGGTGCAGAGTGTGTGACGAAGCCTTATTTTTTGTTGAAGATTTTTTTCTCTTTTTTCCCCCCCTTTAAATGTTTTTGCGATACGGAAGGGAGGAAGGAAATATACACCAGTCAGTGTTAGGAGGAAAGGTTATAGATGGGGACTTTGGAGCTGCAGGCTTCAGTGGGATAGCATAGTACATAGTCCTGGCATGATATGTCAGCCTGATTGATTTTTATACGAGATACACAGAATAAGTTGGCCGTAGTGACTGAAATCAAATGATCTGTATCCAAATGGACAAGGCACGAAGTGTGCCTTTGTAAATGACAACTAATTTATAGGAAATTAATCTCTCTCTCTCAAATCATACGTTGTCCATATAGTTTGATCTGAAGCTGCAAACCATATCACTCTGTTGATGCAGAGCCGTCTAGTTTTGCGGTGATTGCCTTTCTCAAATACGCGCTATTGTTACAATGGACGACACGATCGATGAATCGGAGAAAGCAAAATGCAGTGTGCTGCTGCGAGTGCAAAATGCAGTGGTCGCTAGCGCTGCTGCGAGAGCAGGACGAGCAGGCCCTGTGGCCCGACGAGGATCTCGCTGAGGAAGCTGACGAGTCCGAACCAGACGACGGGCGTGACGTCGACGCCGCCGAGCGGCGGAATGACCCTGCGTGTGACGGCGAGGAACGGCTCCGTGGGCGCGTACGCCACCACGTAGGGGAACTCCGTGACGGGGAGCCTCGGGTACCACGACATGACGATCCGCAGGATGAAGAGGAAGCCGAACGCCGACAGCACCGGCCCCGCCACGCCCGCCACCGCACTCGCCGTCGCCGGGTCCAGGTCGCCCAGCACCGCCGCCGCGCGGTACAGGGTGTCCAGCGACGGTCTCGATTCCACCGCCCCGGCTGATAAAGCGTGACACGGTAGCGCTGCCGTGCAGCTGCTGGTCGTCGCCGCCGCGGTGGCGAGCAGGCCGCCGCGACCTCCCGCCGTCGTTGTTGTCTTGCTCGTAGTAGGCGACGCTAGGTGCTCGACCGGGGCATCGACGTTCACACTTTCTGAGCGGGTGCCGAGTTGCTGTGTTTGCACAAATGGAAGAATCATGAGAACGAAGAAGAGAGCGTGCTGGTCGAACTCGAAGGAAGAGCAAGTGACCTTGGCGGTGGCAGCGACGGCGAGGCGCCCCCACCTCCTAGCGGGTCCCCTGGCGGAGAAGATGGAAGAAACGGTCCTGGGCATGGAAGGCTTGGGAGCCACGAGCAAGGACGCTTCCATGAGAGGCAATGGAGGAAGCAGCTGCAGCTCCTGCCAGTGGCTCTGCTTCTGCTCGGCCTTGTCTTCGTTTGGATAAGGCAAGGACCCCACAGTAAGGGCGCGCCAAACGAGTGCTCTTTGTACTGGGCCGAAAAGCCCAGCCTAATAGAAGAAGGCGAAGGCCCATTAGGAATTAAAACCCAAAGCCAACCCTACGGCCCAACAATCCAAACACCAACCACTCGCCTTTCCGAGACCCCCCGAGTTGGGGCGAAACTCCACCGCCGTCGCCTCCGATGGCGATGCTCTCCAGGATGCTGCCGCGGTTGCGCTCCTCCGCCACGCGCGTCCTCCGCAAGGTAAGCCACCCTCCGGTTCTCCTCTCTCTCTCGCCTGTTGCCTGCCACCGATGCCTCTTCACTAACGCTTCGCCGCTCCCGTCCCATCGCGCTGCAGGTGTGCGGACTGGAACCCGCGGCGTTGGCGGCGGCGCGACGGCTCTCCGCCGCTGAAGCCTTCGCCGAGTGTGAGGGCTCACTCCTGCGCCCTCTCCCCGGTCTGGACCTCCCGCCGTGCCTCCCTGACAACCTGAGCCGCAGCCCCACCCGGGTCACCACGCTCCCCAACGGCCTCCGCGTCGCCTCCGAGGATGTCCCGGTAATGCACAGCACACAGTCGCTGTGTTGCCCAAAAATACCTTTTTTTCCCCTTCCCGCTGTTCCTTCTATTTTTCAGTGCGGGTTGATTCTGAAGCTGCTTTGCGGAGCTCGTCCCCGGCAGGGTCCTTCAGCGTGCATCGGTTTCTTTGTTAACTCCGGCTCCGTCTACGAGTCCGGGGAGACCACCGGCGTCTCGCACATGCTGGAGAGGATGGCCTTCAAGGACACCAAGCACCGGAGCCACCTCAACATCGTGCACGAGCTCGAGCTTGCCGGGGGCAACGTCGGCGCCTCAGCCTCCAGGGAGCAGATGGTCTACAGCTATGACACGCTCAAGGGATACATGCCGGAGGCTCTCGAGATCCTCATCGACTGCATGCGCAACCCGCTCTTCCTCCAGGAAGAAGTCGAACGGCAGGTGACGCGTGATGGACTGGACTCCTTCCTCAGTGGAAGTGGATGCTCTCTCGTGGTGCTTTACTGTTTTGTAACTGACTCACCGTCGGGTTGTTTTGTCAGCTGGTCCTTGCTCGAGAAGAGGTCCAGGAGCTGCAGAAGAACCCTGAGAAGTTTCTTCATGAACAGCTTAACCTTGTTGGATTTTCGGGTGCTCTTGCGAATCCGCTAATAGCTCCTGAGGATGCCCTTGCGAGAATTAATGATAAAATTATTCAAAAGTTCTATCATGTAAGGTCCTTTTTTTTCTTTATTCATTTGATTTCTGCATTCCTCGTAAGAATTGACTTACTGCTAATAAGTACATAGTTTGAAGTCACCACACCTCAGCAGTATCATATTAAACTATGCAGCACAGAACATATATATATTAAGCTATGGTATGTACTTTGTCATTTAGGTTCATAACTTAATATTATCACTTTATCAGTTCACAAATACTGCATAACGGTTCTTCAAGTTGTCTAATTTAATGCTGGAATGCAATTCTTGCTACTATCAGGTAACACACAAGAACTTATCAGCACTGAAGTAGTTAGTATGCGTTGACTGTAATTGTAGATAAGACTAAGAGAATGCTGCAACCATTTGATGCTAATGTGTTATTGCTCATGATACCATAGATAAGCCAAAATTACTAGCACGTCTTTGATCTCATATGGTTATTTTCCTGTTTTCTTTCCAAAAATTGATGAAGCATTATTATACAAAAAGATTGAGAATAATGCTATGTATGTAACAGGAAAATTTTACTGCTGATCGTGTGGTTCTAGCAGCATCAGGTGTTGATCACGAACACTTGCTAGGCTATGCAGATCTTTTGTTGAAAGATTGGCACAAGGGGACCCCAATGGAAAAGCCAAAGTCTACATATGTTGGTGGAGATTCCAGACACAGAGCAGATTCAGATGTAATATGATCTTTCTACTCTATATGGGCTATGTATACCCTTTTTCATTTGGTGTTTTCCTTTTGTTCTACTTCGACGTACTGGATATAGTCTTTGCTCATCTTGCTGTCTTATGCAGATGACACATGTTGCATTAGCTTTTGAAGTGCCAGGGGGCTGGCTTCAAGAGAGAGACGCTACAATTATGACTGTCATACAGGTGGAGTTAATGATTCCGAGTTTTCTAGTAACTAGCTCTAGCTGGGGGTACATTGATCTCAACTTCCTATCTAATTGTTAATCCATGAATGTCCATACACAATAATTACATTTGGCAGACTTTAATGGGTGGTGGTGGTTCATTCTCCTCTGGTGGTCCTGGAAAAGGGATGCATTCACGGCTTTGTAAGTCCTGAACACTTGATGATTGTTCAACTCTTTGGATGGCTCTAGAAAATGTACTTAGATTGCGTAAAATCTCAAAAACTGTGCTACACTTTAGAATTATGTCGCATGCTGCATTATCTATATTTTTGTTTCTTTGTTTTGCTGTATTAGAGACTTAGTTTTTTGGTGGGTGAAATATTTCTGATGAAGGCTATGCTCAATTGTTGTTTCTTTGCAGATCTACGTGTCCTAAATAAATATAACTCTGTTGAGTCTTTTTCAGCATTTAGTAATGTATATGACAGCAGTGGCCTCTTTGGTATCTACTTAACCACGGTGAGCTAATCTTTTCTTGCATGGTTGTGTCTCATATGTTTTCTTAATTAAACTTGTTTCTTCTTTCAACTGAAGTTTGTAAATTTGAATTTTGTTTTGTATGATCGTGTTCCATGATTATGAATTTTTGAGTGGGATTAAGGCTAGGGATAAAAAAATGGAAATGGAGCATTTCATTTACCTGGAACTGTTTCCATAAAAATGATATCGTTTATGACCGCTTCAGACCATAACCGTATTTAAATTTTTGATCTTCTAATTTCTTTTATCACCGTATATAGTTAAATTGAAAATATGGTGAGCTTCCGACCGACCGGGGAATCGTTTCCGTATAGAAAATATCTCTACCGACCATTTTCATCCCTAATTAAGGCCAGCTCTTTCATCCTGCTTTTATCCCTACACAACTTCCAGTGGGCACTAGTTGGTCTTGGTGTATCTTTGCTGTCCAGTGTCTTCCTGCTAGTGTTAGGATGGCCCATCAGCCTATAGAAAATGCACAATATGAATAAGAACAGTAGTCATCTGTTGCCCTACTACTATTTAACATGTTGGGTATACCTGTTTAGCTTTCTCACTGAAAAGTACTGCTGGAGATACGTTTCACATCTTAGAGCAGTCAACTGTAACATGAACAACAACGGTTTGGTTCATGCAGCAACTATGCTTTTGTTGCACTTGCACATGACAGATTTACCTTTTCTTCTTTGTGCGGGGGGCTCTGATATGTGTATTATTTTTTGCCTATTTTGACTAGTCCAGCCATCAGATTTTGTGGCAAAGGCTGTTGATATCGCAATAAGTGAATTAATTGCTGTTGCAACTCCTGGAGAAGGTATGAATGATGCCCTACTTGGTTGAAAAGCTTGGCTCATGGCTATTCATTTTGACTGCCTGTTCTAAAACTTGTGGTCTGTGTGTGCTCAGTGACAGAGGTTGAACTGCAACGAGCGAAAAACTCAACGATTTCATCTGTATTAATGAATCTTGAATCTAGGGTAATCATGAATCCCTGGTCTGTTTCCTGTTTCCTGTCAGGTATTTCTTAATAAGACTTGTCATTCTCTGTTAACATTACTGCAGGTAGTTGTTGCAGAAGATATTGGAAGGCAGCTGTTATCTTATGGTTGCAGGTAAGTCTGTATGCTAGGTACTTCAGTGTTAATTGCGCTTGTGTAGTAAACTATTGATCCTTTTTTCTGCTTTGTTGCCATAACAACAGGAAGCCTATTGACTACTTCCTTCAATGTATGGAAGAAATTACTCTAGATGATGTTGCAACATTTGCCAGGAAGATGCTAGCTTCGCAACCCACAATGGTTAGCTGGGGAAATGGTACGTTTGTTATTGCTCTCATCCAAGGTTTGAAGTGTAGTTGATCTATTAACTTGAGCATGCAGCTTACGACTTAATGCAATTTCCTTGCCTTTTTGTTGCAGTTGACAAAGTTCCTCCATATGAATTTATTTGCAAGCGGCTACGATAGTACCCCTACACAATGACCTCTGGTGGACTTGAAGGACCCTTTCGTGGAAAACTAAACAATCACTTGTATGAAGTGCCCTAGCTCAGAAACTACTTTTCTTTCGGACTGCAATTTAGTGAGCTTATGATTTCAGCAGCTACGTTCAATTGTAACTGTTCAAACAGCACATAGTAAATGAGAGAGGCTGACGAAAGGGGAAAAAAATCAAAGTTCCTTTGCAAAAATCAACCGTTCCTCCATGCCTCATTTGTGCTTTATTGTCGTGTTGAGCGTTTTTGTGTCCATTTTCTGCGATTATGGATAGCAGGAGCATTCCGTTGCCCTAAATTTCCTGTATAAACGGCTTTTGGAGTATTGAATCATTGATGGGTGATAAACTAATACCGTGTTTGGTTTGGGGAACGGAGTGATCTATTCCTCTCTTTTTTATTTGTTTTTTTATATAGAATGGAATGAAGCGTCCATCATCTAATTTCTCTTCTAATATTCCATTCCAAATTACAAGACATTTTGACCTTTCTACATATTCATTTATGTGTATCTAGACTGTATATATAAGTGAATCGGGAGAACAAGTGTTGCGTCCGGACGTCCGTGGCTGCTCTGTTCCCACGCGTAGGAGCAGGCGATGCGGACCTCAGCTTGCTGAGGGGCCACTCACGCGGGACATCGTGCTGCTGTTGGCCCACCTGGGGCCACCACCTCCGCGCGCTTGTCGGGCCACCACCTCCACGGGCATTTCGCTCATCGGGTGTCCATGTCATCGCGCTTGCTGAGCTCGATCTGCTGCATCGAGAGGGAGGGGGAGGAGGAGAGGAGAGGACGCCACGACAGGCTCGGCGGCATGTCTGTCCGCCAGCCACTAGCACCATTGAAACATGTGCAACACCTCGATCTACTTTTGAAACATCAAGATGTAACACTTAACATACGTCTGCATATAGATGAAACACTTGAAACATGCGTCCGAAACACTTGCAAAAACAATTGAAAAACACTCAAAAACCATTGCAAACATTTGCAACATCCAGATAAAAACACTTGCAACATATGTGTGAAAACATATGGAACATCCAGATAAACACACTTCAACATTCGTCTAAAAAATAGATGAAACATTGGGAATATACGCTTGCAACATACGTGTACAACCATGGTAACATATGCAACATCCCGATCTACTTTTACAACATCAATATGAAACACTTGCAACATACCTCTAAAACACTTGAAACATGCGCTTGCAACATGCGCTTTTAGCAAACCCTACCAGGCGGGTGCGAGGACGGAGCACTGCACAACAAGGTCCGGCTGCGGGGGTCGCAGTGGAGAAGGACGCGGCAACGACAAGCTGGCATGGCGCGGCCAGCCAGGCAGTTGCCCTTTCGGGGGAGCACACCAGAGGGAGCAGGGCGTGGCCGGAGCGAGGAGCGATTGCCCAGTCAGGGGCGCGCACCAGAGAGAGCAGGGGCGCACACCAGAGGGAGCAGGGGCGCGGTCGGAGCAAGTAGCTAAGAGGTGCGGGTGGGGCGCGTGACGGCGGGGGCGAGCGGCGTGGAATGGGGCAAAGTAGTGAGGGAAGCGCGACAGATGCGATGCAAAGTGGGCGCGTGGCGTCCATCTGAACGGACGCCCGCGTCCAATCATTTTCGTAAGTGAATAGCAAAATTTACGTATCTAAAAAAAAGCCAGAATGTTTTATAATTTAGAATGGAGGGAGTAGCTTATAATTAGTGCAAGCGTGAGAAGTATAGTTATTCCACTAAAATTATGGGTTGAACTGATGATACACCACCTCATCTAGAGGGGCTTGGTTCCTCAAATCACACCCCATAAATGTAATTGATGGGAAGAGAAGAAATGCTGCTCGATTCACATAAATTTAGGTTTTCGCCATCATTTTGTCTTAGAAAATTCCAAACCATGACACTGGTAATTCAAATGTTCAGTGCAGGTAACCCAAAACACTGTTGAGCAGAACCGGATGGTGATTGCTATATAGTTCTTGTAGTTTTTTTTCTACCAACGGGGGCTTTCCCTTCACCACCCCCATGGGGGTCCACAGGGTTCATAACTACCCCTCTTACTACGGGACGTTTAACTAGCTAACACTTAAGATCGGGCTCTACCCAAACTTTTTTTTGTTCACCCCAACATTACCCACTTGTCCGACTGTTGCTAAGCAGTTTTGGGACAAAAGAATTACATGAAACGATATTCATCAGGCAACAAACTTATGGTACTAGGGAGCTAGGCGCTACTCATCCCATCCTGACAGACCAAGCCCTCCTGCTCCCACCTCTGGCATTGAGGAAAACATCTTAAGAGCTGAAGAGTCAGTGATGGTGACAACACCTTTTGATTTCTTTCTCCTCTTCGTGTGATCAATTACCAGACCCCCAACAAATTTTCCATCAGGAGCTTCCAGGGTTGAGCTGTCCTTTAGCTTAGTCTCTGGATTGCCCACATTGGAAAACATTAAATCTGCAAATGAGATTTCTGTATTGTCAATTCCTTCGTCAACGAATTTCTTCCTCTTGGCTTCCTTCTTGTCCTTCGTGATGGTATCATAGGCAGAAGATTGAACGTCTTTGTTCTTTAAGTTAATGTCATTGGCATGGTCTAGCTCTTCAGATTTCTTCGTCTTAGCTTCCTTCTTGACCTTTTTCCTTTCCTTACCGTCTGGCACTTCAAGTTTACCAGGGTTCGAAGTGGTGACACCTGTGGAAATACTCTGGACTTCAAGCTCTTCAGGGCCCTTTAACTCTTGTTTAGATTTCTTCCTTTTATCCTTCTTTGTATCAATCCCAATGGAGTCATTATTTTTGCTCAGAGGATTCTCTTTTCTAGAGCTCTTATCACTCTTGGACGTGGCCTCTAGGGGCTTTGCATTCAATATGCGCAAGGTTGGTACAAATTTCTTAACCTGAGAGAACACTGGAATTACTACAGAATTGAAGTACATACAAAAAAAAATCAAGTTGGTCAGGGGGAATCACCTTTTTTACAAGACTGTCTTTCTCAGAAACAGGATTTCCCTGCAAATTAAGGTTCCTCAAGTAGCGCAATTCAGAAAGTACCTGGCAACAAAACAAGTGACTGTTACAGTAAAAAAAAATCATGACAGATTAATTCGCAAACAGTGATAGGTGCAAACCTTCAAATCTGAACTCCTCTCAATAAAGTTATTCCCCAAATCAAGGTTCAAGATCTTCACATTTTTGGCCAAATCTGAAGGGACTGTCTGTAGATTCAAACAAGAAGTCACAGTCATCAAGTGCAATAGGCAAATTTATGCTAGGACACCAATCAAAGTGCAAAAAGGACAACCAATGAAATCATACACTGATCTTGTTGTGAGAAAGCCTAAGTTCCTTCAGTTCCACACACTCGACAAGAGAAGATCCAATATTTTCTATTTGGCAGTGAGACAAGGATAGCTATGAAAAGAAGTAGCAGTGACACATTAGTCATTCAGAGTTAGAAATAGGCTGGTCTTTCAAAAAAAAAAAAGGTTAGAAATAGGCTCCACACAGAAGAAACAACACATTCTGTTCTATAGTTATGTAATAAGGATAAAGAAATGAATAATACCTTTTTCATAGACTTAGCCTTGACCAAAGCATTGCCGATGGTAAAAACAGGATTCTTAGACAAAACTGCAGCGAAGTAAATGTTACAATTAAGTGAAGGGAAACATAGTTATCTATTGTCTCATAGCTCCTATATGAAAACATATTTTTTTATTAGGTGATTGGATTGAAATATAAATGTAGAAGGAGAAGCAAAACAAATGTCAGGTACACAAAAATTATTATTTACCATGCAAATTTCTAACAGCGTTGTATATCATGATCTCTAAATGGAAAAGGTGCTGATCATCTTATTTTAAGAAAAGGATGTAAGTATGTGTCAACAGGGTAAAGTAATCCAGTTCAAGCTACTACACATGCGAAGTTTCGACTTACATACCAAGTGTATTTAACTGTTGCAACCGATCAAGCTTGCAGATGGTAGAAATATTGTTATCTGCATTAGAAATTGCAAAGGTTCTCTTGTGAAATCAAGTATATTACCAACGAGGGAAATAGGAATAATGGACAGTCTAGAGTATTCATCAATTGCATTACCGTTAAGAATCAATGCTCCCAGGCTTGTTAAAGATGCGACCTCATCCATTTTGGTAAGTTTGTTCTTGCCAGCATTCAGTACCTGTAAAACAACTCCCAAGTGAGGCGACTCAAAGTAACGTGGTAAGATTCAGTACTGAATTAGGCTACATGGAAATGCATGGGGGGACAGGCCAAGAGGCAAGTCACCTGCAGCTTTGAGAGCTCCTCAACACCTTTTAAGCTCACAAGCTTGTTTTCGATAACCGAAAGCCACTTCAAATTGGCACAGGAGGACAAACCCTTGGTAACATAAAAGCAAGAATTTTAAGCAAAAATAGGCGCATATAAACAAACCAGTTGAGGTTCAAACAGTAGCAGGCAATATGAAGCACTAATGCACTATATGTCTCCATGAAAACGATTGCATAGCTGCTAATCTTTTGAACCATGTCTGAACTTGTATATTACTACTACTGGGCCATTGCGAGACCAGAAAATACGATCAAGAAATAAGAGAATGATATAGCAACGAGAGTGAGATTTCACCAATATAGTCCACATGAAGAATACATATTTAACTTGAGTGCTCCTCAATCCTCATTAGCTTAGGAGGACTTTTATGCTGTAATAACAAGAGGTACCTCGAGGGTGACGAGGCAGTTGTAGCCGAGGTCGAGGCGCTCCAAGTTCTTGAAACTGCTCAGGCACGACACCTGCGCACCCACCACGCAGCACCAGCACCAGCAGCACAAAGGATTGTGAGTAACAGAGCACGGGCCGAATGAGAGTGAGAGACTCCACTCCACTTACGTCGGATAGCGCGCGATGTGTGAGGTTGAGGGACGTGGCGTTGGTCCCCGCCAAGCCCGCCTCGCGCGCCGCCTGCTCCTCGGTCAGCCGCCCCATCGTCGCCGCCGCGAAGTGATGGGTCGCTACTCGCTATGGCGTTTGCCCCCTTTGATCTTCCTTCTTTGTTCTTTCTGATACCCTAACGGCTTGACGGTCTCTTACTGGTGGGCCTCCAACTTGTAGTGGCCTAGTGGGACCCACCTGCCAGTCTCGGCATTGACTAACGCGTTGGCTCCTCTCGTGCCTCGTCAGGGATGAAACGGAACGGGACGAAGAAAAGAAAAGGAAAAAAAAAAAAAAACAAGAAGAAGTCTCGAGTCTCCCCTGTCCCCTCCCCCAACGCTCTCGCTGTAGAGGAAAGGCGAAGATGGCGATGACCGTCGAAGGTGAGTGCGTCTAAAGCCCTTCTCCCCCCCACCCGGAATTCGAACATTTTCCTCGAGTCCCGCTTCGATTCCCGTCGTTTGGGACCCCGATTCGTGCATATAGTCGGGGCGATTGGGTTGTTGCTAGGGTTCGGTTCCGATCCGATGGAAGGGTTCGGTTGTTCTCTTCCAATTCAGGGCTTCGGAGATCCCAATTAGATTATGGATGGATGGATGGTGTGCTCTCCTAAGTTAGTTCTGGAATGGTGAGGTCTGTATCCCTTGTTAATCCGGGCTCGTGGCAGCGCCAGCACTGGATTGTTCGTTCCATCGAGGTTAGGTTTGCAAGTGTTCATTTTGGATCAGGGGCGGAGCTTGTGTTGCCACTTGGCTGCAGTTTTGTGAATCGGATTTCTGCAAAAACCTCGTGGAATGCACGCGGTTAGCTCATAGTGCTTTTGTCGTGATTTTCACCTTCTGTTTTGACAATGACAAGTCCATTTTTTTTTTCCAAAAGAGATTATTTTTAGAATCTAGTGCTCAGATTAGCTCGTACTGTGTTAGACTACCAGGTACCTTTCTTCTTCAAATAGCTCCAAGAGTTTCTTTTACTAATTCTGTTTATCTGTTACTTGTCTGCTTGCCCTCCGTACCTTTGTGCTGGATGCCGCTGTTCAATTGCTGATGATGTTTCTCTTTACAGTGTAAGCTCATTGTCCTCAATCTTTTCTAACTTTTGTTTTCCGTTTACACAAAGTTTTGTTCCATTAATTCCTCCCATTACAGGCTCGCTGGACTCGCGTTCATGTTCTCCACGAGTATTCTACTGCAGATACTGGTATGCCGTGATCGCTTGTTTAATGCTCCTGTCAGCCTCTTATTGCAGCACTGAAAGCTTTCTATGATACCAATTAATCATTACTTATGTGCTGTATTCATTATCAGTTTTGAGAAGCGACAACTTAGCTGTTTTCATGTTCACTTGATCTCTTCCCACAATTTATGTACATTAGTTTGTCTGTGACTCATGGCATAAGCATGATACACGTAATACAAAAGGAAAAAGCACAAAGAGGCACTAGGTTCTTGCCAGGGTTATAGCAGAAGCATCATATCTGAGTGAGAGTCAAATGTACTGGAGAAAGCACTTTGCGGTCACTGCACACAAACTGTGTAGACACCCCCCACACCATCAACTGTGTCCTAAGTGTAGCAACTTCGTGCAAAAGGCAGCATTAAGTTGTCATGCTATTATTGTTTGTTACTCCCTCGATTCCAAATTGTAAGTCGCTTTGTCATGCTATTAATGTTTGGTTTTTATTTTTGATGGTTCAGGCATGCGCTTTGTACAACAACTGGTGGCCCATGTTAGCAGGTTATTGTTACTTCGGTACCCTCAGTCAATGAGAAAGTTCCCATAGTCTTTCTACTGACATTTTTACATGTTTATGATTCTGCAGCTCTCATGTACGTCCTTGTACCAATGCCATGCCTGTTTTTTGGTGGTGGATCCACACATTTCTTGACTAGCAGAGAAGGTGGAGGGTAAGTTCAGCATTTGATGCTCTTGGTTACTTATGGAAATGTCCGATTCACAGATATAAATAATAGACCACTGAGAGAATATTACTTAGTGTATGTACTCGATAGTTTCGTTCATATCCTGTGCTATCATAGTGATACACTGATGAGCTGTGGTGGTAATAATTTCAGGTGGATGAATGCAGCGAAATTCCTGACTGGTGCGTCCGCCATGGGAAGCCTCGCTATTCCAGCAATTCTGAGGCATGCTGGCCTAATCGAGACTGGGGCTATGTTCATTGAGTTCACGTCCTTCTTCATCCTTGTATGCACAGTGCTGTGCTTCCATAGGGCTACCCTGGATGAAGACTGGTAAATGTGCATGCACGATCGACCCCCTGAACTTGAAGAATAGCCAATCTGTGGCCGCTTCTCTCCATGCTAAGAAAAATTCCTGTTGGAAGCTAACATGGATCTATAGAAAGAAGCGTATTTCGAGCGTACGTGGCTGATGTTTTATGTAGCACTTGTGAAGATTCTGTAGTCATGTGGCAATGCAGATGTTATTACCTTCACTTTGACTTTGTCGTCACATGTTCTATGGTGAAGGAAGGAATCATCCGTGTAAAACATGACCAGGACACGCCCTACTTGGCTAGTTCTATGGCGGGCTTTGATGTTAACCTATTATGAATGAAATGATGGGATCTTGATGATGGACATGTTGTTTGATTTTGGGGTGTTGATTGAAATGTAAAAACTCAATTGTGAAGCAAGCCTCAAGTTACGTATTTGAAGGATACGAAATTGCGGGTTCATACATGTAGGTACTCTTGCTTTTAGTGCTCAAAGTTGAATGAATTCCGTTCTTAGTGACATAGTGAAACTAAACTACTGAACTACAGAGGTATATAAAAATCAGTTCCAACCTTGAGATCAGTTTATACCTTTGTTATAGCAGCTTTCAACAAATAAACTTATTAACATCGATCTGTAAACTTTAACAGCAAAGACAGTTTGGCCGAGTGGTCTAAGGCGCCAGATTTAGGCTCTGGTCCGAAAGGGCGTGGGTTCAAATCCCACAGCTGTCAACTTTTCTCATTTTCTTTTGATATATACAATATACGTGTAATACAATATTTTTTTTGATGTATACTATATACGTTTGAATACCGTGACTTGGGGCTCTTGGTGGGTTTCAACTCTAGCCTATCCTAACTTGTTTGGGACTGAAAGGCTATGTTGTTATCATTTTTGTTGTTGTATACTATATACGTGTAATACAATATTTTTTACTTTTAATTTACTTTTTGTTTTTGTTTCTGTTTTTGTTTTTCTCATATATAATTTTTTTGCTCATTTTCTTTTGAGGAAATACTATACACGTGTAATACAGTATTTTATCTTTAATTTAAAAAGGAATTAGCCGTTGTGTACGGCATAATTGTTAGTGAAACCATCCTACTCCTGTTGTCGTAGACGTGGAGCTAGTATTTGGAGCGAGGCGAGGCCAATAAATAGTCCATCCATCAGCTTCACACAGACATGGACACTAACAACAACGTTACCTTACCTCACTGACATTCCAGTTCACTCTGATATGACCACTATTCGGTCGTCGCAATCAAGCGAAATTAGAGGCTAAATTTTCAGTGGTTGAGTTGAGCCAGCCACAAATGCATGCAGCAAACACAAAGGAATTGACTGAAGATGATGATCTTGATTTGATCAATGATCTTGTTAGACACCATTGACTGATCCTGTTAATTAATCTTGTTAGCAGCAATAGCAGATGCAGATCAATAAACCTTTACCAAGCCCAATGCAAGGAACAGATGTTTAAGTATATACTGTGTCAGCTCAAATAGATCAAGTCCAAGGCTTCAACGCGCGCTCTCTCTCTCTCTCTCTCTCACACACACACACACACATTTTCATTTTGAGCCTTGATATGAGGCAGATTCAGATAAAATTCGAACATGTTCAGCTGTTCCCTCTTTTCAGTTTCATGGTGATATATTGCCACAAAGCGAGGTTCTGGATGTAAAGTGAGCAGCCACAGCAGGCCAGCAGCCAATGGAAACAAGTCACTGACCGTGCCGTGTGTGTTCCTCTGAATATTCTGAGACCCTCCTCTCCTCTCCTCTTTTAACCAACCTAAGCAACACTGTTTGTTTACTCCTCCACTCTACTACTGGTCACCTCGTCAAGTTGACGAGTTAACAAAGTCATCATCTCATCTAATCTTGCATCGCCATCTCTGTCTTTCCTCCTCCATGTCCATGGCCCTCAGGCGGCTCCGACCTTGGGCCTTCCCTCTCTTCTTCCTTGTCCTTTTCTCCTACGATGAATCTGGTCTTTGGAGCAGAAGCAGGACTAGGAGTGGAGTCGCGCAGGCCACGCAGAGAGTCTTCCTGTATCCACAGGCTCCCAAGGTCTCCTCCATCGTGAGCAGCAAGTACAGGACTGCCTACCACTTCCAGCCTCCCAAGAACTGGATCAACGGTATTGCTCTGTCTCCCCTCTAGTTTTCACCTGTTGACTTTTGGTCTGTCATGTTGTCGTGTGTCTTCTGATTTGAGGTGTTTTTCTTGGATCAAGAAAAGGCAGTTTGTCTGATTTTTGCCCAACTGGAGAGAGTTGAGTTTCCTTCTCTTTCTGAATAAAAGTTACCAGCTGGTGAGGTTAAACCCAGCTAGTATATATATTTTTCCTGTGTTCATGGTATATGTGAGAGAGGAAGGTAGGTAGGCAACTCATTACTTGTGCAGTCCTGTTGGTTGTTGCTGGATGCTGCACAGGACAGGATATATAGGTGCTCACATTTATGGCACTGCTGTTACATTTTAGTAAAGTCATAGCAATATTTTGCCTAAAGGGATCGATGCTATTCGTTGCTGAATATTTTTGCACTCCATTGCCATTGCCATAGTCTGAAGTATTGTCTCAAAGTTTTCAGTTAGGCAATGCACGAGTCCTTACCATTCAGGCCAACTGAAAATTTGTCTGAAAACATGAAAGATCCATTTCTTTGTCATCTGTATGTAATCCATGTGCTGTTTTGGACTCTAGGGTCTTCCCTGTTTGTACCGTCTTATATATGTTGATTATATTTTCATCACAAGTTTCTGACATCATCTTTCTTTTTCGTCCTTGAAAATCCAAATGAATCGGCGACTGTTTCAAACATGTAACAACAATTCAAAAGATCCAAATGGTATGTTATGTATCTCTCACACCAAAATGGCACTGCTTCCATACCAAACTGTGGTATAAGCTGAAGCGCTCCTCAACCGTTGTTGCCTTAATTTTCAGGACCAATGTACTACAATGGTATCTATCACCAATTCTACCAGTACAACCCAAATGGTTCTCTCTGGGGTAACATAGTCTGGGGCCACTCGGTCTCAACAGATCTCATCAACTGGATTCGGCTTGAACCGGCGATAGAACGGACGACTCCGAGCGATATCAATGGCTGCTGGACAGGTTCAGCCACAATCCTCAAGAGTGACCAGCCTGCCATTATATACACTGGTGCTGACATGGAGAAGCGTCAGGTCCAAAACATTGCGTTTCCCAAGAACTTGTCTGATCCATACCTGAGGGAGTGGATCAAGCCAGACAACAACTCACTGATCCAACCAGTTGGACAAGGATTGAACCCAAACCAGTTCAGAGATCCGACGACCGGTTGGATCGGACCCCAGATGGGCTGTGGAGGATAGCAGTTGGGGCTGAACTGGACGGCTACAGTGCTGCACTTCTGTACAAGAGTGAGGATTTTGTGCACTGGACTAGAGTGGATCACCCACTATACTCTTCCAATGACTCCACCATGTGGGAGTGCCCGGATTTCTTCGCAGTGTTACCGGGCAAGAACATTGGGCTGGACCTGTCGGCGGCGATCCCGAATGGCACCAAGCATGTCCTCAAGATGAGCCTTGACAATTGTGACAAGTACATGATTGGTGTTTATGATCTGAAAAGTGATGCCTTTGTGCCAGATTCCGTTCTTGAGGACCGAAGACTGTGGTCAAGGATTGATTATGGCAATTACTATGCTTCAAAGTCGTTCTTTGATTCGAAGAAAGGCAGGAGGATCATATGGGGTTGGACAAATGAGACAGACAGTTCGTCGGATGACGTTGCCAAAGGTTGGGCTGGAATCCATGTAAGCTTCTAAGTTCTAATAATTACATCACCTACTATTTTCTAGTAAATTAGTAGTGATCGTTGCTTCAACATGCATGCCTTTGTCAGTGTAACTATGCACAATCATTTTTTTCACATTTATTAGGCAATCCCCAGGACTATATGGTTAGATAAAGACAGTAAGCAACTGCTGCAATGGCCAGTTGAAGAGATTGAGTCGCTTCGAGGAAAAGAAGTCAGCCAGCAAGGCCTGGAGCTCAAGAAGGGGGATCTGTTCGAGATTAAGGAAATTGATACTCTGCAGGTTAGTTTCATTCATTCTCATGTACACTTAGGTTTCTCCATTTCAGAATTCATTCATAGCAACTGTAGATAATCTAGCACACTATTTTTTTTTTTTTGCTGAAACAGGCAGATGTGGAGATAGATTTCGAGCTTACATCCATAGGAAGTGCCGATCCTTTTGACCCTTCCTGGCTCTTGGACATCGAGAAGCACTGTCGGGAAGCAGATGCGTCGGTTCATGGAGGCGTAGGCCCATTTGGGCTTGTGCTTCTTGCATCTGACAACATGGAAGAGCACACCTCTGTGCACTTCAGAGTTTATAAATCACAGGAGAAGTACATGGTTCTTATGTGCTCTGATCTGAGAAAGTTAGTACACATATTTCACCTCCTTTTTTTCTCCAGCTTTGGCTAAATTCTTGAGACATTTTAACGTTTAAAAGTCTTCATGTTTTTGTTTCATCAATTAATTAAGCAGTAGAGTTTTTCTTCTTCTTTATTTGCAGGTCGTCCTTGAAACCAGAACTGTACACACCAGCCTATGGAGGCTTCTTTGAGTTCGACCTCGAGAAGGAAAAGACGATATCTTTGAGAACTTTGGTGAGTTCAGTGGGGGGGCTGGCTTTGTTTCCAGTGTTCTTCACGTAGTGAGAAATGAAATGGGTAAGCTGTAACAGCAATACCTCTGCACGCCCTGCAGATCGATCACTCTGCGGTGGAGAGCTTCGGTGGAGGTGGCAGGGTCTGCATCATGGCTAGGGTCTATCCTGTGGCGCTCACTGATGATGGCGGCACTCGCTTGTATGCCTTCAACAATGGCACTACAACCGTCAGAGTGCCTCGGCTAAAGGCATGGAGCATGAGGAGAGCACAAGTTAATGTTAAGAAGGGATAAGCACAGACAGTTAGTATACACTATTCAGTTACGAAGCCTTTTCACCACTGAGGTGAGGAATGCATGAGTTACTTCACGGCATCATGCTTTTCTGCTTCCAAGCTCATTCTTTAGCTCCCTGGAAAGACGGGGAAGAAATACAAAGCGCAAGCTCGCTGACCTCACGTTAATTATGTAATTCATCTGCTTTCTGCTACAAAGAAAGGAAACAGAGATTTATATATATATTGCTAAGTGGAGATATTTTCCCAATGACTTTGACCTCGGTTGTACGGTTATGGGTTGAGTCTGGTTTCTCTCATAAACTGGGTCTTCTTTTTTTTTTTCCTTCTAATAACCCGTTAGACTTGCAAAACTATGCCGTTGTTTCCTTTGCCAAATTTTGGTCACTCTTTACTTAGATAGTCTTCTTTGGATCCATATATATCTTCTTGCAGACCATGGCAAAGTAGCAGCGATAAGTTAAACTAATTTCCTCTGTACAATGTTGCTTATAAATACCAAATTATATATTGCTCTTAAACTGGTTTTCATTTCAGACAAAAAACAAATATAGCAATTTAAGCTCTGATCAGAACAGCAAGTATTTTGCACACTCCTAAATTTACTTTAATATATGAGATGTGTGGTTACCTTGCCTCGGAATGAATAGCTACATAATACATTTACTTAAAACAACATTGAGCGTTTTATTATAGTTATGTTAGCATCTTTATTTTATTTATTAATACAGGTGAAGTTTGAGAAAGATCCTCACCATCGGTTTGCAACCGATGTTGCTCTCCAGGCTGTCACCCCAAGCAAGTGAAGAGCTGCATGCCCTCAATGAAATGATCAGCAACATCACTTTAACACAAGTTCCGGACAGCAGATATTCCAAATTTGCCGGCCAGCTGGGAACTCTCCATGCTTCAGCCGTGTATCAGGCATCCAAGACCATGGGCTCCCCGTGCAATTTCTCTAGCTTCGTTTGGAGAAATCGAGCACCCCCCAGGGTACATTTTTTCGGCTGGTTATTGGTAAACAACCGCATACAGTGCCGTTACAACCTCCACCTCAAGCATGTCCTCGACGACGACATTTGCCAACTCTGTGGTAATGCGGCAGAGACTGCCGATCACCTCATCTTCCGCTGCCTGGTTCCTTCGGCTTTCTGGAATCATATTGGCTGGACTGGGGTCAACCTTCCGGAGCCAACTCACCTATGGGAGATGCCACGGCCACCACATATCCCGGCTAAGCACTTCCCGATGATGATACTACTGTGTTGCTGGCAGATTTGGAACCATCGCCACGACGTCGCCTTTCGCCATCAGCAACCCTGTCTGAGCCGCCTCCTGTACAGCTGCAGGGAAACATGTCGCCTATGGAGCAGCCGCCTTCGTTCCCAAGACCGTTCCATTGCTGATCACTGGTGTAATTTATTTGTCATGAATTAATGCCCGGTACGATTAAGACCATGTAAACTCTAGGTGCCTGGCACCCTCCATTTACCGGCTTGCCGGAATCTATGGAAAATCATTCAGGTGGGGCTCTCCCCCCTCCGGTGAAGTCTTCTAAAAAAAAAAGTTTGAGAAAGATGTTCCAACAGCTTTTGCCAAGTCAATGTTCCATCAGAATATGACCCTACAGGCTATAGCGGATTCAAAGCAACTTCTCTTACTTAGTTGTATGTGTGATATTTTATTTATTAACTATGTAGCAAGTCTGCATTAGCTTTTCCTTTTTTTTCTTTTGACATTTTATTCGCTCCAAAACAAACAAACCCAACAATAGTTCATAGCAATAATATACACGGTTCTTGTGCTTCACTCGCTCCGCACACAATTGGTCACTCTCGCTTTAGGAAGGAAGTAAGCCTAATTGTCATTTGTAAGTCGAAAGTAAAATATCACAAATGACAGCTTAACAACATAGTTAATAAGCATACGCACCAGGCAACCTTTGACTGTACCATGCAGGTCAGCAGGGTCTCAGGCTCTCAGCCAAACAGACCACTGGCAATACCCAGGCAAAATTTTCCCAGGGTTCTAACAAAATAAGCCCTTAAAAAATCAACATATCAAGAAACCCACAGGAGGCAAGAGGCAACGTCATTTCTGATGGAAAAGGTGACACAAGCTCATTTCTGACCGCTCAAATTAATGGAAATATGGTGCACTTAGCTCAAGGCTCAAGCATTCAACTCTAATTTGGATCACAACATTAAGTGCATTACAAAAAGATGACTCCAGGTTGAATGCCCGGTCAACTACTTCAAGAAATGCTAATAAAAAACTAACCAACAAAGCTAGGCCATAGAGTCATCACAAGGGCAGTAGACTACTAAACATCCTTACGAATACCAGTAAGTGTTTTTCTTCTCTCCATGATCTGAATGATGATTTCCTAATGTATGATTGGCGATATATTATATGACAATTAATACATCATAAAAGGCTGGACATCTCTCTGCACTCCTTTGGCATCTTTACTGTTTCTCTAGCCCTCAGTTCTGAAGTAGCATTGAAATAGAACATTCCCAGAAATCCCTCTGAACTGTAGCATCTGCAAGAACATCATAATAAGCTTGACAACAAAAAAAATAACAGTATATTGCAGCCACAGGAGAAGAATAGGGTCTGTAGTTCAGCAGTTGTGACAGTAATAGCAACACTATAAAAAGGTAAATAAGCACTGTTCACAGCAGATTTCTTCATTCTGTCAAGGATTGTATCATCAGCTACCAGGCTAGGACTACACACATCTTTTTTACTGAGAAATAATGACCAGATTGTCAAAATCCAAAGCAGTGCAAAATATACAGGTCCTTATTAGCACATGAGAAAAACGGTTGGATAGAAGCAAGCAAAGAATTGCTATGCCACAAACATGTGTTATCTGTTATACAGTGTCAGCAGCTATTCTGGTTAGATCATGTGAACTTAAAATTGCAATTCCAGGTTACATTGTGTCATAATAAACTAGAACAATAATCTGAAAGTGTTAGTTAATCTTTGTGGAATCTGCATTCAGGCATAGAATATGTAGGCTCTCATGATCTACTTTAGATGAGTCAGAAACAACTCCAAGTCAAAATGGGTTTGGCTACTGCAAATTCTTTACTACTGGCAATCCAGATCTACTTACAGAATTGCGTTGTATTTCCATTGACTGAAGCACAAATCATTCACAAGTTGACTTGTTTGACTAGAAAATCATTACTGGCTGCGTTCTCATTTTGATATGGATTTAGTAACGAGTTAAATGGTGCTGCAAATCATATTGTTGTGATAACAATTCTATCTTTATCTAATTAGCATGTTACCAGTCATGGTTTACAGCTCAATTTGCATGTTCTAAATACTAGAACATCGACAGTGACAATAATCTCAGTTAAACATCATGTGATGTACCATTGTTTGATAAGGGAAATCATACTCTAAGAGCATGGACTGCGCATGTTTTGACTAGAATAAAAAAAAACAGATCTTGCTGATAGCTTAGAGTATTACCACAATAAAATTCATTGGCAGCTTGCTAACCTAGCCTTCATACACATGAGAAATAATAAACACCTCAGAAACGTAAACAACAAAGTCTCACATGTTAAAAGTTTTGTAGAATTTCAGCACACTTGCTATATTCAGGTATTCAAGGAGAGTATGGTAGTAAACAGGTGTGAAACCTTGGATTGAACTCCTTCCAAATGATCTTACCGAAGTTTATCAGAGTAAGATAATGTTGAATGGGATAACAGACAATTACTTAACATATTAACCAAAGGTTACATGCTCAGTCGTTACATGTTTGGCTTCAGATTTTCAGCCACTAATAATACTTATATGTGAATAATGACAGCATTACCTTCTTACTTAAAAATTACTCCCGAACAGCAGAAGTCATCTAGAAACACGATGACGTGACGATCTTGTGGGTGACACGTTCTGACTGTGTAGCTACCGTCAAGATCTCGTCGTTATAAAAGGCCAAGCGGTATCCTGGTGCCCTCCTGCTGTTGATGTCAGGAGAGGACAGGAGACCCAGGACTCAGGAGGAAGGCTTCCAATGCCAAAAGACATAACCTCCTTCCACCCGGATTTCACGTCAGAAAGGTCGAAAGTCCACCTCGTGAGGATCCTATTCTCGAAACAGACAAATCTGATGACGGTGTTGTCACAGGTTGAGCAGGACATGCAACGGCGCTCCTCGGGATACCCCCGGCCATGCAAAGGATCACAACTTTGTTGAGTAACCTGCTTCCCTGTGTGAACGCACGGCAGGGGAAGACGACACTGAAAAAGCTCTCTGCTGTGGTACTGTAGCTACAACAGGGGCAGGCGCCGAACGGCTCTCCTGCTGCACTGTATTCACAACAGGGACAGACGTCAAAGTCAGCTCTGCTGTCACATCTAGTCACTGTAGCAGCATGTTAGCCTGACATGTCTGTGTACTATGATTAGATGGATAGAGTTGTATATATAGTTTCCCACTGCAACTCAGTAAAGAGAGCGAGTTCAGTTTGCCATCTACTCTGCAGAGCTCCGACCAACGCTGGTGCTTGTACTGTGCGTGTGTATGTACTCTGTTCTCCCTCCCGTCTTCTACCTCTAATCATAGTGTGTGGTAGCCAACGACAGTTTGTGGTCAGCAACACTAGTGTGTGCTCGGCAACACTAGTGAGTGGTCGGATATCTCCGTGTCGGAGATATAGTGGGCTAACAAGTGGTATCGGAGCCGTACAAACGCCATCGCCGGACTAACCGCTGGCGATGAAGCACGGTTCGAAGATGGGCGACAGCAGCGGTGCTATTGTGGCTGCCCAACCATGATAGGAGGTCGTTGTGCGCACGTTACGAGAGGTCAGCGACACCAGTTGGCCAACGCTGAATCACACCAACTATGGCGAGTGGTCGGTGACCATGAAGGTCAAGCTCAGAGCCCGACGGCTCTGAAATGCTGCTGACAAGGACACAAAAAACGAAGAAAACGACATGTTAGCGTTGGTGGCTATCATCGCT